TGGCTTATGCATCTGTAAAAGGATTATTACCTAAATCAACACATACAATTTCTATTTTTTGATAGAGGAGCCAGAAAGAATGTTACTTATTTTCTGGATGCTAGTCAGAAAATTTTATTTTTATTTGTGAGAAGACCAGACCTGGACTAATTGAAAGAGCAGATTTGGATCAACAGAAAAGACATCACTCTACAGAGGTCATATTTAGAGAACAGAAGTTATATCCAACAACTTTCTATGGTATTTCTCAAAATATCGCTTCTATGCAAAGGAAGCTTAGTCAGAAAACTCTGCTAATAGTTTTTTGTGAAAACTCCAGATTTTTCAAAGAAAAGACCACCACCAAAGCTAGCATGTGTATTCCTTCTGCATGCAGCTGAGACCTGCAAAGAGTTTTTGCTCCCTGGTCTGCCCTGAACTGCTGCTTGGGATTTCCTATTGAGTTGCATTACTGGATTCCCCCCATTCCCTGCCAGTGGCACTGCTTGTGGGGACATCTCCCAAATGCACAAAGAAAACAAAACCAAGTTATCAAAGTCCTGCTATTTAATCTACCGCAAGTCATGAACCTATTTTTGACAAATGTGGCTTATGGAGTACTCAACTGTATGTCCAGCTGGGCATAAGCTCAGGGTGTTGGTCCTCTTCACCTACACAGCTGGATCTGGTACAGGACATCTGCCCATCATTATTTAGTTGAGGATGCTTCACACTGCAGAGCATCTGCCTATACCAGTGTCATTCCCAGCTTTTCTAAAGGAAATAGATTTTAAAAGAGAAAAAGAACCACCATAGGAGCAGCATAGTATTTCAGAGATGCCAATTTCCCAAGAACAACAGTTTTAGAGAGCAGAAACATTAAGGAAGTTGCAGCATGTTTATATATGGTCACTTACTTAAACCAATTATCAGCAGGAGAAAAAAAAAAAAAGATAAAAAGGACGATATCCCAAGGCAACAGAAAGTAAATCAAGTGTATCAAAGCTGTTTCTGAGCTCCCTTTACCTATCCACTTGGCAATGCTGACTTTTGAAATTATACTACACCATTCGTTTTTACTTTCATGATGCAAGGAGAAAAGGACGAAAAAACTCCCCAGTCTTACCCCCTCTTTTTACTAAATTACCTTAAAAACAGATCTGCATTGTTACTTCAAGGTTATTAATGTTAGTACTACATATATTTATAGATGAGGTATTCCTTTCTGTCTGAAGCACATGAGGTAATAAGTAGCTGGAATTGTCATGGTGATTTATTAACATATTCTCTAGGAGAAGCCTTGCACCTGCATCTGTGCAGACAGAACACCCACGAAGGCTGAACTCACCCCTACACAGCCCACAAGATCTTAAAAGGAAATGCTCCAAATTTAGACCTGCTCCAACAGGTGTCTTTTACTGTTTCACTTTGCATGACCATAAATATCAGAGGTGGAGCAAAAAGCTCCCTGTCCATTGTAATCGTGCTTTGAAAACAAATACCTTTGCCCCCTCCCAAAGCAGAGGCAGCAGCTATGGAATTCTCATCATTTCCTCACTCCTTCATCCTGTCAAGACCCAAGTCAGAGAGATGTCACCGGCAAAACCAGGCTCCAGGGATGAGCACATAACTTTATTTTTTTTCTCTTCAAAGGGCCCTAAGCTGGCTCTGAAACGTCCCCAAACTGTATTTCTTTCATTCTAGTATCTCATCTTGCAGCTATTTGCCAAAGTGAATGACATGCACAGGCTGTTCATGGTTTTTTATAAGCTCTCATTACCCAAACAGGGAACCATTTCCTTGAAAATGCTTTCCCCAGCAGCATTAGTCTCTCTAGGCACCACCAATAAATTTGTCTTTTGGCTCAGCCTGTTGCACTCCAAAACGTGCCTGAATAGATGTATTTGATACTGTTTTCCACTTGTTTACTGAGGGAGGATGCTACCTGTGGGACTTGTCATCAGGGTGATTAACAGCACAGGGAAAATAAAAGAAAATTTTACCCACCAAATTGAAAGCTTTGCCAGACTTGCTTTGGCAAGCAAAGGAGCAAAATCCAGACTCCTTTCTGTGGTGTAACAAGGAGATGCAATCCCAGACCCAAAATGGCTATCCATGACTTACAAAACCACAACACAAATCAAAATAACAAATCTGGAAAAGAAATCCTAACCAAACTGAGAAAGAGAATAACAGGTTACACCATGAGCTTAGAAATTCCACTAAAATGTTTCAATCTGTAACACTTCCACTACAAAACACGGGGTCAAGAGCAAATAAATATTTAATACTCAAAAGGTACTCAGGAGAAGGTGTTTTCCCCTGTCCCTCCTCACCAGCTGCTCTTTTATGGCAGGAAAGTGAAGAGCATGAAATCCAATGATAGGAAGAAGGCAAAGGTCAGGAAAAAGGTTTTTCTTCAAGGATTTAAATTTGCCTTCTACAGTTTTGCGTGTTTTGTCAACACAACTTCCCTCCTGTGAGGAGGGGAAGCCAAAGGGCCTTTGAACCATTTCTGTATGGGGTCTAGATTTTTACCAGTAACAAGATTCCTAGCTTTAAAGAAAAGCTCATCTTCCTTTTTCCCATTCCTTTCACCACTCCCTCCCTGTCCCTCCTTCCACTCTCCTCCTTAAAAAGAGACAGGAAAAAGAAAACAGACAAAGGATCTGAAGAACAAAACAAGCACTGGAGGAGTTCTAGAGTTCATGTAACAGACCACTATAGCCCTTCAAAGGGACCATTAAAAGCAAAACAAACAAAAGCAACACCCTCAAGATGTCTATTGTATTTTACAGAGGAACAAATGAGTGTACTGGAAATTCTCCCACCATCTTGCCACAAAGTCTGTTATTTCATCAAAACGAAGTCCAGAGATCATGAAACAGACAACATGGCAGCTGAAAGTCAGTCACATCAAATGATCCATGAAGAAAATGAGATAGGGCTTGCTTTCCCCCCCCCCCCCCCTTTCTTTAGTATGATGTATTAAAAAAAAACTTCAAAGATTGTTTCAAGCGTTGCTTTTGTTTCTCACATGAGAAAATATGGGGTTGAGCAGGTCTAGACAGCTCAGTGGTTAAAACACCATTAGCTGCCAACACTTTGTCTTCCTAGAGCTCCCACAGTTGTTGCTACCCTGGATTTGCCTCAAATGAAATTACTGATGATTTCCATATATATTTTGCTTCCCTCAGAGTTCCCAAAGATGGCAGCTGCAGGACAGAGAGAGCACACCAACATTGACAGTTGGCAGTTTCAGATGTCAGAGGCTCATCCACGTGGGTACTGGCCCAATACTTCTACTTGATGCTTCAAAGCATCATTTTAATTTATTTTTTATTCTTTTTAACACTTAGCAGATCTCTTTTTGTTCTTCTACACTATCCTAGCATCTTTGGGCTTTACTTGAGGGGTGGCTAACACTTCACATTCGCTTTCATAGCTGTGCATGTAAGAACTACAGGGAGACAGATAGATTTTTATCCCATCTGTATATCATCAACACTCCATTTACCAAATCCCAAACAGTAATGCTTAAGATCTGCTGAAGACAATATAACTGAACAGGTGCTACTGAGGGCAAAGTTTAGCCTGCAGGATAAAGCCTGATAAATTTAGCTATAGGAATGAGAATCCTCTGGTTAGATGAACCTGTAAAATCAGGGGTCAACTAAGATCACATATGTTACAGCAATTTCTAAGTCATTATACCACAGCCACCCTCTAGTGCCAGGAGGAAGCCATAAAGACAAGCTTGTCACTAACAGTAGATAAAATATTCCTCCCCTAGCCCAAAATAGATCTATTAGTCTTCATATGCACAAACCCACAGAATGCATCAGTGATGAATTTCCTACTCTATACAAATCAACTGCTGTGTGTTATGTACAGAAGGCTTGCCTGCAGCTTGGTCCCTGCCATGCCCCAAGATAAGCCCAGGAGAGGGCCAGTGGAAACATGCTGGGACAGGCTCCTTCCATTGCAACAGTTAACAGGGCCCACTCTTGATCACCTTCCTTCTAGGATAATCCTTAAACTCAGGCAGAGGAGGTGTCATCTTTCCATGGGCACAGAGCATCTCCCTCACATCTGGTAGCGGGATGTTCAAGGAAAGATTACACTGAGCTGTGGCCTACAGCACACACCAGAGGCATTTTCACAGCAGAGATTTATCTGAGAGCAGACCCCAGATGTCTGCATCCTTGACTTAAAAGGTCCACATGGATGAATTCCCAGATCTCAAATGGCTGTTCCACAGGTGTCTCATCTCACAGAGGTGAAAGTCTGACTGTCAGCCTGGGAGAAACTACAAAGGTTGGCCTCTCAAGGAGCCAACACAGCTTTGCACAGAACACGTCAGACAACGTGTGCCTGAGAAAACTAAAATCACTGTACTGGAGAGCATAAAGAAGAAGTCATCTTTCCTTCTCCTACTAATGGATATGAATTACACAGTGCAGAAAATTCAGCTTGTGTGGCATATTTGATAAATTTATCCAAGTCCCCAGTGAAGTTTAATGGTGGATATAGCATGGTTTCTGTAATGAATCTTTTGGGGCCTGGAAAGACAGCTGAGATTTTGAGCCTTAAATGTGTAGGAAGGTTATGAAATCCTGAGAGCCTCACATGGATACTCCACAAATCCATTTGGGACTCAACCGGTGAGACTAGCATTTCATTTATGGAATAGGACCTATTCATTTATAGGCCTAACACTTCACAGTCTCTGAATCTAAACTCTATCTGACCTATTGCAATATAGGTTTCATTTCAAGAAGAGCTACCTTTTCATGCATTCCTTTTCTTTCTCTGGATTTTTTCCTAATAAAGGTATAAGACAAGCCTATCAGTTGGTTCCAATGATGTAACAAATACTAAAATATTGCTCCCTGAATATTGCAAAAGGGGCTTTTCCTCTTCCCTTCTCATCCTACTTTTTCTTTAACCATCTCTCCTACTACACAATTCTTTTATCTCATCCCAAGTTCAGCTTCTATTACAAGGACTCATGAGCTTACTTCTGAAGGATGGATCTTTTAATGACAAGTTCTTCATCCAAGTCAGCTTCATTAGCCATGAAGAGCAATCTTTTTCCTGTGTCATCCACTCCAATGAAGTCGCGCTGCTCCACTGAAGTAGAAAAACAAGAACAATCATTATATAACCCCATTTTAATGCAGGCAGGAAAGACAAATGGGACCACCAACCACCCCCAAAATATGAAATCAGACTACCCCAGCAAATCCATGACTTTAATAAATATTGTTGATACCTTTTTCAACTTCTTGTCAGTTGGGGTAGCTGATCTATATCATGGCATTCAAAACATTGGCCCTGAAAGGTTTGTGCATCCTTTTTATGAACATGCCAACTACAGGTCCTGACATACAACATTCAATTTTGAGCTGTGCTTTTTGTTTTTGTTTTTTGTTTTTTTTTTTTTTTTTTTAAAAAGCCCTGCTACATGAATTAAAACAAAACGAACTCAAGGCAAGCAGTGAATTCATCAAATCCAACTGCTTCTTTTTATAATGTCACTCCATGTTAGAATTAGGGAGTCTGAAGAGGATTATGATTTCAATTGAGACATAAGCATTTGGCAACTTATCTATTTTAGACAAATACCAATATGTAAATCACAAACACACAGTATAGAATCTAAGACTTCTACCATGGATGCTTCTGGGTGGGTTAACTTGGTTTAAATCTCTTTTTATAAAATTGCCCACCAAGAGAATACCTAACACTCACATGTATTATTATGGCAATCTGTATCTCCTGTAATCAGTGACTGTGCATCAGCAGGGACTTTGGCCTACTGAAATATAAAGCTTTTATTTTTTAACAGTTTTCCACACCATCTGAATACAGTGGTGGCAGCTCATTCTAGTTTTCACTCTGTAGCTGAGCTACCACTCTGGTGGCAGCCATATACTGATCTTTACAGACACAGGCTGTACAAGTAAGCCACAGTATAATTTAAACAAAAATTTTTTTTCTCACAATAAATACTATTATTTTGGGCCAAAACTGGCAAATATTTGATCTTCTAAGTTCTATGCCTTTAATCACAACGGAGTAACAACATGCCCTAGAAGCAGCTAATTCTCTAAGATCTTTTTCAGACAAAGTATTTTTAGCTTTATTTTTCCCAGTTCAGGCCCATCCCTTGTTTTACCTATACCTGTTCTTTCAGAGTTACCACAGTAATAACTACCATTAAAACAGTCAAATCTATGCAGCTGGTGAAAGTTCTCCTGTGCGATCTCTGATCCACGTGATCAAGCATACCCTCTTCAAAAAACCCCCAAGCCTTCTCAGAAATTCATTACACAGCAAATAGGCCTGAACATCTAACACCATGACAAAGTAAGTACAATTATGATAAAGCTCACTTGCTGTAAAAACTCAAGAGTAAGTCTTGAAAGCAGTGCCTATTTTCATTCTGTGGAGGGCAGTGAACTTTGAGATTAGGGGTGAATGAGCCCTCACCTCTCCCACCTAAATGGGGTCTCCTGACAGGATGGAAATACAACAGTGACTGACTTTCCTCCATCGAGGCACCACCACTTCCCTACAAGTTCAGGTCCTACCTGCCCATCTCCTGGCTGTTCTTACAGGAACCTACTACTCTGCTGCAGCAAAACTCTATGCAACAGGAAAAAGGGGAAAAACTTGAAGAGAGCAGGACCAAGCACATGACTGACACCAAACAGGTTGCTCTTGCTTGTGTGGATTAAGCAAGAAACAAATAGTGAAACCATGAGAGTGCACCGTGGGATTTTTTGTAGCAGATGCCAGGTCAGGTTTCTCCTTGTACACTGGCAATAAACAACATCACTTCAGTAATTTAAAAAAAGACAAAACTTATACAGTAAAATCAATTATCCAGAGGTACAAGGGTGCTGTTTCAAATCCCACTGGCATCACTTAGGAAGGAAAAAATAAATGGAAGAGCAGACACATAACTAGCTCACAAAATCCCTGCAAGAAGTATGAGAAAAGTGTTAAAGTGACAGTAACTTGACAAAATCATTTAAAGTATAAAAATGAAATGCAGGATGTGTTTTGCCCCCTCACAATACATAAATAAGGACCTGACACTGCTATTGCAATATATTAATTACCTAACAAATTAGATCCCCATCAATTTTAAGGGCTTTAATGATATAAAGAAATTATGATATCATTAGAGAACATTAAGCACTTTAGTGACAAAAATAAATAAATTTCAGTCATATTTTTTAATATGCTTTCTAATCAATCATAATTAACTGACTCGAGAAAAAGACACCTCTGTTAAAGACTCAGTATCCCCACCCTTTCAATTAAATGGAGAGGATTTCACAGGATGCAGCCTTCAAGACCACCAAGAGGTCCTCTGGCAAACACAGAGAATACCAGTGATGAGATGCTTGCTGCTTTCAAGACAAGAAAAATAAGCAGGAAAGAGTCACCATCCCCATCTTCTCTGCCTTTCTTTAAACAAAGAAAGGTTCAGACACTATTTTCCACTCAATCCCTTGCAGGTCATCTTTAAGAACACAGCTCCATTCTGGGTATCTGAATTCCTGACCCTCTCTGTTTATTTGGGTTACTACCACTGACTAGCATTTTCATGTGCTTTTTTTTTTTTTTTATTGCCATTGCTCTTATTGCTCAATTTAAAAAGCCAATGAGATTCTTATTGTCACTATATAATCCCCTAAATATAAAACCCAGTGAACTAGACCCTGTAATTTTCAGCTGAGTCAAACATTGCAGGAAACCATCAGGATGAATTTACAGCACTTAACACACTGCAATTCATGCTAATTTAAGAACTGTTCTTTATATCACAGTTCCTGAATGTTCAATAATAACCCAAAAGCAACAACTTTGTAGCATATTCCATGACATATGTGAAATAAAATCTTGTTGAGACTTCTCAAAAAATGAATTGCTTTGTAGGAACAGTGAAAAAATAAATCTAGTGTCTTGTCATGGGATCCATTTTCTAATACAAACACTTGAACAGTAGAGTCCAAGTACATAAAAACCTGAATGTGTCACAATTTAGAGAAGGAGCTAATAGTACCACCTATTATGAAAAACTGCCTAACATACTCCATGCTAATATCTTGTCTCTGGGTGCTTATAAGCTTCACCACGTTTTACCTGTCTGGGATGAAATTTTCAATGCCAGGTGCCTGGCTTAGGAGGAACATTTGAAAAACTTCAGCAAAAACCATTCAGCTGGTTCTAAGGCTAAGGAAAAAAAAGTGTTTAGCATAAGTGGAAATGGGTTGGTGTCCCTTGCCTGGAAAAACTCTAACCAATCTTTGAAAAACTGCAGGTTCACATGCCTGCAGTTCTTCTTTAGCCTTCTTTACCTTCTATTTTTGCTGCAAATGTTTCCGCGTATTTTAGTCTCAAGGATAGATGGTTCCAATTCCCCAGCTCCTAGGACTGATCAAATAGCAGGTGCTACCTAAGGTTTTCTGTACCATCGGGTGGTAAAGGCAAAGCACACAAGCTATGAGGCTCCACAGCCATGCTACAATGACTGTTCCAGGGGAAAGGTTTAGTTTGTCTTTTTGCAGTCTGTTTTTGACAAGGAAGTAAAAGTCATAAACTCACAGGGGTGAGGGAAAATAAAAAAAAACATTAAAAAATGAGGATTCTGCAAGACAGGCTGGAAGGGGCAGAAAGCAGCTCCTGAAAACTACTGGAAACTGTGACTGGCTGTTAAAGGACACTAGATGGGACAGAAATCAGAAAAGAACAGGTGACTACAGGCAGATAAATTAACCAGATGAAGACAAGAAGTCAGAAACAGGACAGAAGATGCAACTGTCAATTCATCCATCTTCAGTGAAAAAAAAGAGTAATAAATGACACAGAAGAACCAGGCTCTTGACAAGGATCCTTGAGGAAGGAAACTAGGAAAGAGAACACAAAACTGGTGGCAGCAAGAAGCCACCATAGGCAAAAGAAGATGGATGAGCAAAGGTAATGTTGACAGCAATAGGGTAGATTTAATCAAGCAGGAATGAAAGCCAGGAGGGTCTGGTACTCCCTAAACTGTACTTCCCTCCTCCAGAACCTGGAGAAGAACCTAAGATTCCTGTGTTGGCCCTCCCCTGCTTTTAACAAATGACTGAAACAGGCCTGGTAGAGTTCAGCCTTATCGGAGGCAGTTCACAGGAAACATGTCACTACTGCTGTCCATGGCAGCTCAAGTGGTGCTTTGTGTGGGAGATCTTAGCACTGAGCCCCACAAAAAAACACCAGGGGTGACAGAACACTTCCACATAACGGAATTTTAGTCTTTTCAAGTTTGGTCTTTTACAGATCTGGAAAAACACACACAAATTTCAGCATGTCATGTAGGAAGAGTTATGCTACAAAGTCAAGCACACCAACATAAAAAACAAGCAAAATAAGAATGCATGTAAAATCTGTTGTGTTTATATTTGCAACGAGCCTTCAGATAATCTTGTTTATCCTCACAGACCTCCTCACCCCCACCCTGTGTGCTCAGAGCTCACATGCTGGGAAGCTCTATGATGTTTAACCACAGACCCATTAGTTTACAAGTCCTGAATGCTCAACTCTCCACTGTAACAGCGCTCTTGACAATGTTTTATGTGCCATTAGCACTTCACTTAGATTGCCTTTTCAAAAATAGGGGAGTTAGAGCTGTTTGAGAGTCCAAGTACTAAATGCTTTCAGTCCTACTGACCTTACACGTTGCTCCAGAAAAACCTTCATACAGAGCCTAAGAAGTTTTCTTTTCAAAACGTATTTCCTCCGCTTTCAGACAACTGTTGGCTTGCATTTCACTCCTCTCTCAACAGTTTGAAGTTACATTTTCTTACTTGTATTCCAGTAATGCCTTTGAGCTTTAATCAAAGACCAGGTCCCACTAAGCTGCCAACAGCCAAGGCTCAGCATTTTAACAGATATCATTAAAAGAAAATGAGAGGTATGGTGTGGGAACAACTGTGTGGTATTTAGTACTTTTAGCATATAAGTAAAATGGGTATAATAGCCCTGCTCTGCCTTACAGCAGTGTTGTGAGAACAGATACATTAAAGATTACAAGGCAGTAACTAAGATATTATGGTAAAATGGACAAGATAAGCATCTAATCAACTGCTTGAAATCAGTGAGAGTTTTGCCTAGCAAAAGGCTCCTGGATGTGATTTCAGAAGAGTAATTCACTACATACCATGAGAGGGGAGAATTTCTAGAAGTGCTTGTTACCCACCCAGTGCTGGTCCCTACAGTCAGTGTAAAATTCCCAGCTATAATCTGGCTGATGCTTAGTGCTGTTGAAAAACCTAACGGTTTTAATGTTCATATGTAACAAAAATTCAGAGTTTCATCCAAAACTCACTGAAGTCACCTGGAGCTTTTCCCTTAACTCTTGTGAGCTTTGGATCACAGCCTGCAAGATTACATGAGTCTAATACTTAATTCTGAGCTGGAAAAAACCAAGTCACACCCTCACCAGGGAATCCGAGGAAAAATAGGCTATCTGTGCCTTTTTTATTTCTTTTGCTCTGGGATTGATAAGTAAACATATCATACATACCAGTGGTTTCTCTATAATTTTATTAACAATATGTATTCCTTCCTACATACCTGGCTTTTTTTTCCCTTTCTGTCCTGGTACCCCTTCTGTTGGTTCGTGAGTTTTCTTCATCAACATGGAAAGAGTAGCATCATGTGTCCGAAAGAGGTCCACAACTTTATATAAGTCAACATCTGTGATCAGATCGCAGCTTAACACCAAGACATCAGTCTGTCAAAGAAGGAAAAACACCAGCAAACCTTTCAGAGATACAAATTGCAACATATGGACTAGCATTTGAGCACCCAAAACCAAATACACTAACTTTTTTTTTTTTTTTAATTTACCACTGCCAAAAATAGCTCCTGGTTTTTACCAGTGGGCTTTTCTTGAGTCTTGCTGTTACTGCTATTTGGCTGATGCTTATCCAGATCTGAAGCATAAAGAATATGTGACCATCTAAATTGTCTTCATCTGCTCCTAAGGACACAGAAGCCATGGCTTTCAAGACCAACAAGAAATATAGCAGTAATTTCAACAGCTACTTTTAGTTATATAATGAGGTAGAAAAGAAGTCTTTCTGAAGAAGTCTTTTTTAGCTGACTTTGCATCTGGCTACAAAGTGCTGGAAAAGATATTTAAACTATGTTATTTTATTGGGGGACAAAAAAAACAAAGACTATCTAGGAAGTGATTTACTCAGTAATTGCACTGTGATGGTGGGCTCAGTATAGAAATACATTTCCTAAAACCAGCAATACTGTATATTACAAGAAAAAAAAAAGAGGACATTAGGTCCTATTTAACAGGAGGCTTGATTTTGATCTCAAAGGATTCCTAAATACTTTATACAGTTTTTAAGAGAACTGCTGCACAAGTCACAGGAACATTGTCACATATTGAGCAAGACAGCAGCTTCATTAACGGTGGGCACTATCAATATAATCCACTTAAAAACTCTTACTTAGAAAAAAAATTCTATATTTCACGTGGGTTGTGGGATATGCTGCCAAAAACCTATGAGTTCAGCAATTAACTTAATTTAAACTAATCCTAACATAATATTTGTGCAGCATGGCCGACACAAAAGTAGCAAATTTCTACTTTTTGTTAACAATCAACCTTCTAAAGGCCTCTCCAGAAGACAGTGTTTCTTTTCTGACAATTACCAATACAATACAATATTTAATGAGAAGGGCATTAGACAATACTTAGAAAAAACCTGAGTTAATCCATGGAGGATCGATCAGTAATTCTACTCTTACTTTTGAAAACTTGGTTTAAAGCAAACTGTTTCAGGGTTGACCTCTCATTCCAGAAAGGTTTATTAAAGAAAAGCTTGCTTTTTTATCTAACATGAGGAGATTCCACATTATAGTTGAGATTAGCTGAGGTCTGGTATTTACATTATTTGACAGGTTCTTCTATAACTGCTAGGCAGTTTCATGTGTTTACCAATAAGGTGTTGGAATTCATCATGTCACAAACTGTTGGAGCTGCTGATTTGGCATGCTGTGCAAAAGGTCAAGCTCTTCCATTTTCATGTGATTTGTCCCCACTTTACTGAGAAACACCTGGCTGCTTTACAGGAAGGAACAATCTGCAGGTTGAGAATTTTACACATTCAAAACCTTTCTTGCATCACTCCTTTTGACGTATTTTCAAAATGTGTATTTTATATTACAGTTTTGCCCAAGGAAAGTGTTTTAATTAGCACTTCTCTAAAAAAACCCAACATGCACACATTGGAAAAAACCCCAACAACCGAAACCACTAAAGTGAGTTGCCCAGCACTCTGGAGCAGCCCTGCTCCAACATTCCAGGGTGCACAAAGAAAATAAGAAAAAAATTCAGCTTGGTGTGGAAGCAAATCTCCCGCGTCACAACTGTAAACTGTGAAGAAACACATATTAAATATCCTGGAAAACCCTGCAAAATTTTCAGATATTCTGTTTTTACAAGAGCACGAATGAATAACAACGTTTACAGAAAAGACCAAAAGGTATTCAAGACCCATATAAATAGACCTGTACTTTTCAAACTCACTTTATAGAAAGAAGAGATTGCCAGCTTCAAATCTAGATGCATTCGCTCCAGTGGTGAAAATAAGAAATAATCAAATGAGAGAGACCGACACCCCAATAGTCTCATACTAAGGAACGACTATCTGGACTTGTAAAGCAAACCTTGTAATTATTTCACATTTTACTAAATGCTTTAATCTGTCACTAACACAAAAACGCAACAAGCGTTTCATAGTTCTGACCAGGCTCCTGGGTTTTTTCTCCTCCCTATAGGACAAGCTTTTTGCAAAAACTGAATGCAAGACCCCTGAGGTGCATACGGGAACAGAACCACCAAATGTCTGGTTGCCATCTGTTCTACCCATTTACTCTCCCAATATGTAAATAAACGTCAGTGAGCGCAGGGACCAGTGAAACACACAGTTGCTCTGTAAAGCCCACATTTCTGCCTCTCCTCCTGATGAGCAGAGCAGTGGCCTCAGAAGCACGCTGAGAATACACCATGAAAGGCTCTTTTGGGACTTGACAGCTTCCCCTTTGAAACACCACCACCCTCATAAATAAAGCCCTCACTGTCTAATGGATGCACTTTTTTTTCCAGTGTACAACTCCTGAACGAATAAACTAATGGCTGAATGAAAAAATAAACTATCCTAGAACCTTAGCAGAAGTGTGTGTTTTTCTTTACGTTTTCGAGGTGGGTGCAGAAGAAAGAAAATAAATGGTAGAACTTGTGGGTTTTTTACATATACACACACACCAAATAAATGCAGTGCACCTTTCCCAATGAGCCACTGATACAAAGAAGAGAAGTACATACTTACTACATGCACTCACGTGCTAACAAAGGGTATGTGAACATACTTGACTTCATGAATTATGCAAACGCCTAAGTACACACACATCTCTTAATGAAATACATGTAACAATGATTACATCAACCCCAAACTATTATAGAGATGATAAGAATCAACACGAACTGATTAAAAAAACCCCAGCAAGCACACACCTCAAGCAGACTGCAAAGAAAAAAAATGCACACACAAATGCACTCTCAACACGTATTACAACCACGGGCAGGGCAAGGCAAGAGTCTTAAATCAAGAAGGACCATCTAATGGATGGAGCATGAAACAAATACTTGGAATATCTGGTATTTTCCTGCTCTTGCAAACTTGACACGTGCCATTTTGTCTCTACTACCTTTATGACAAAGAGCAGCCCTCATCACAGACCAGGATCTACCACAGAAGCTGCTGTACAGAGCAGGTGAAAAGGCAATCAAGCATAAGTGAACAGCAAATGATACTGGGTTGAGGAATACAGGAAAACACTGTATTGCTACTCTCAGGGACAGCAGCCCTGCCCTCCTGGTAGCACAGCTCATGTTTTTGTGAGCATCACAAGAGCCACAGAAAAGACAAGGAGAATATAATGCTCCTTGGAAGTGTTAACTTGGGCCTTAGCAATCCCTTTTAACCTCAGATTTGCAATTCATTCACTCAAATGAAAAACTGAGACTAGGCTACTGACCAGTGGAGAAAAGTGGGACTCTGCAGAGATCATCCCACCTATGATCCAAGTTTCAAGAAGATCCTTCTGCATCCCTACTGACTTCATACAATATTGGAGCTCTGGGCTTTCAGTCCAACCATCCCTGAATACAGAGCATTCAGTTAAGTCAAGTAGGAAAACATGGCACTAAGGTCCCCACATCTCCACTCTCCTTTTCTAACACTGGCTAACAGCACTTTACCATCAAATGTTATAAACTGCGAAACGGTCAGATATGAAGTAAGTTAAATACTTTATCCAGACAAATAAAACAGAGTAACATAAAACATGAAGAGATTTCTACAAAATGGAGAAAACAGTAAGGAAAAAACACTGAAAACCAGTATGTCAACAACTATATTAAACCCAGCACAATATGGAAAATATACACAAAAACAAGACCAAAAAGCAGATTGCTTCAAGAACTCGGATCAAGACAGCCGATTTAAAAATAGAAAGCATGTTTTCAATGGAACTAATTCATACCACAGATCAAAAGATGGATGCAATTATATGGTGTAATATACCAACATAAATAAAAAGCCTTGGACTTTCTCACACCCCACATACAAAGGCAATGCTAAAAACCCTTTTATATTCAGCAATTATTGCTGGAACCCTTATGATCAAACAGGAGATGTCAAGGATACCACAGATAGCTGGCAGCAAATTATGAATTTTTAGTGGTATTCACTATGCTTTTTATATCAAGTATAGACAAGGGCAGGACCTCACAGCCTAAACTGCTGATGGCCTCAAAAACAGCAGACTAGAAAATGAGAAAACATGTGTTGCAAGGAAACTGTAATATGAACAAAATCAGCCTCAAGAGAAAGAGGAAAACAAATGTCAGATTGCATTATAAACAGAAAAGAAGCAAAACATCCACAAGCAGTAGAACCAGCTTCTAACAGAACTAAAAACAGACAAAGCACTGAAACTAAATGTTAAAAGTTTCCAATTGCAAAGTATTACAGCTGAGACTTTGACAGGAAAAGAAAGAAAATCAAGAGATTAGATATACTCAACCTAAGTTAATACATGCACAAACAGAGAACTTTGCATCACTTCCTGCGGTGTCACCAAACAACAGGGGGGAGAGAGAGGAACAAGTTATAATTACTGCTGGAATTAGGACTGAGTTTTATACACAATAGCCTGGAACTTCACCCACATGTTGCATTAACAGTGGGGTTTGTGTGTAATGCTTTTTATTATTCTAAAGAGTGGAAAGGGAAAAAACAGTTTGGCTGTGGGCAAGCATTTTGATTGCTTGTTAGCATTCTCCAGGCAAAGTCAAAGATACCTCCCAGCAATTGCATTACTCACCACTCTTCAGATCAGAAACTTACATCCAAGGCTTTAAATAATGCCTTTTTATCTCAGTCTCCATTAAGAGACCTCCAATTTCCACACCTGTGACCTCTTTGAAGCTCTGTGGCTGTTGCTGCAACTGGAGCAGGGAACCTCATTTATTTTTTGATGTCTGTAAGATCTTGTTAGCTACCAACTGAAATGGCTGCCTTTCACTGGGAATTCCCACTCTCCTTTTGTAATGTCCTTGATGGCGAGATTCAGAAGGAAATAATGATTTAGTACTTTGCTAGCAGACATGAAGCATTTACCTACTCTGCTGTCACCCTGCAGCAGGAA